TTTAAAGTGGATATTAAAGTGATTAATTTAAGTGATTGTTTAAAGTTATTTTATATTTTTTTAAATAAGGGGCAGATATAAGATTTTTTTCTTCTTTCTGCACTCTTTTCATTCAATATTTTCTGTATCATGATTTTTTTAAATTTTGTTTCTTTTAAATTAATGAAGTAAATAAAATAAAATGTTAAATTGCTTCAAACACCTGCTAAGTTCATGGCATAAACCAACAGACATGTTCCTGTTTTTAGTATTTTACATCACTTTATAATGTAGCTGTCTTTGATTTTAATATAATTTTCAAATCATATGTTTTTTATGATTGTCTACTGTTGTACTGATAAATATCTCCTGGAGGGGAAACTATATCTTGACTGCAAGTATCAAGCTGAGAAATCCTTAATTTTCTACAACTGATAGTGGTTGGTCATTAATTATGATGAAGTTTAGCAACTTCTCTGTAAACATTAGAGCTCCATGGTTTCAGCGGTGTGTTCTTCTTGTTCAATCCGAAGCAGGCAGTCTGATTTGGGGCAGCTGCGCTCAGTCTGTTCCTCCTCGGAGACAGGCAGACTGAGCGGGGCAGATTGGACACGGCTGGCCGGGGTCGAGTCACCTCTTTTGGTTTGACCAAAGAGTACTGCCCCACTGAAGCCACGGAGCTCGAATGTCCATCGTAAAACTAACTTTACCGCAGTTTAATGTGGCGCTATGGCTCTACAGCCATTGCACGTTGCTGTCTTGTTTTGTGGTGTTTCTAGTGTAAAATACTTCCACACAGTGGACATGTTTAGATGAAAAGTTGGTTAGCTGTTAGCCACAGTGCTGCTAACTCAGTTCTCATGTTGTAGCTGGCTGCAAACTATGAACTGGATTTCCTGAATGTGAGGCGGGTTTTATTACTCTGGGTTCATGAGACACGCTGCCGTTCAGGAAATCCATTCCATAGTTTGAAGCCAACATGAATCATGGATCGGAAATATCGGCAGGTGGATCGGAAATATCCGATACGTAAATTATGCTGGTATCGGAGGCTGATACCGATACTGGATCAGATCGGCCCCATCCCTAACTACTAGTACTACTATTCCTACTTGGCAGTTTTTCACTTATCGTGGGTCTTCAGGGTACGGATCCCCCGTGATAAACAAGGGACTACTGTAAAGTGTATTTTCACAAAGCTTTTTTTCTCTTTTTTTCTGGAGAAAGACCTTAAAACCAATAAACATTAAATAGGCTCTTGTTTTTGGTTAGCCTTTAGCCTAGCTTGGACAAAGACTTCTGCCTTTTTGTTCCCAGTCACGGAGCAAAAAGAGGAAATTGGAAATACCCTCCATCCTTCTTTCCATGCAGTGAGTGCAATTACTTGGAAAAATAAGTGAGCTTCACCAACTTCCATTCTGGTGTGTGTCTGCTTCAATAAAGGTTTGTTTCAAAATCTAGACTGCCATGTCAAAATCAAGGAGGGCTGCCACCAAGGCCACCCCCATCATTTGAGGAAACTATGCTTTTTAGTTTTTATAGTGCTCTAAAGTATAGTTTCCTCAAAAGATTGGGGCGGCCTGAAGTTTGGTGCTGAAGATTAATCTAAGGCCCCCATAAAGCCATCCCACTGGCCACCGCTGGCTCTGCCATTGTGCCTTGTGGTGGATAAAATGGCTCCCTCTGTATGTCACGCTATGCATCTCCTCAGACAAGAAAATAAAACCACCTCTGTTTTTATATACAGTGTATCCTACCATCTTGAACACCTTACACCAAAAGCATTAAGGTTTACTTGCATTCTCTGTTCAGTTCCGTTCCAAAGAATCATCTAAAACCAACAAAAATTCGCCATTAAAATCCCTCCACGACATGGAACACCACGTACTGCTCGTTCTCCATGCCCCTTGTCTGATGAAACTATTGATAACTATTAGAGAGAACATCATATCAAAGCATCATTTTATGACAAGATTATTGATAAAGTTTTCTCTAACAAATTTCAGGAAACACACCCAGACAGGCCAGAGGCAGCTCAGTATGCCACCTCTCACAAACCAGCAGTCTTTTGTAAAGCATTCCATTTTATTTATTTTCACTTTCAATAGCTCACTCCGACCCGTAACCATGTTTTTTTTCTCCTAGTCCTCAAACCTGATAGATGGCGTCAGTTTTAATCTCCTCTTCCCTGAAGGAAGCAGGCGCCAGCACAGAAAGAATTACTCCTCTTCAGTGGCTACTGTCTCTACAAACAGATCAATAATGCTGATGCTGATTGATCGGAAAGGAACGTAGAAAATTAAAGAGATGAGTGAGAAATGGGACATCGCAGGATAAAAAGAGAGGAAAGTGTGAAGATAATAAATGTACAAGAGTGTACCAGAGCGAAAAAAGGCAAAACAACAAAAAGGCTTAACAGGATTAAACAACTGGATTAATCTTGTTCATGTTTGCACAGATCCATTTATATAATTCTACATTCAAATAAGAGATTTCTGACTCCCACAGATGAAGACATGTAATATGTGACTGACTCAGGTTGTTTTATTTGAACAATATTTGATTTTTTTATGCTAAATTTATTGTCATCACACTATCTCTGTGAACAGGAAGTGTCAGTGCCACAATGCATACTTTTTTAATATCCATCCATCCATCCATCCATCAATCCATTGTCTGTACTCGCGTCTTCCTCTTCGGGTCGCGGGGTTCACTGGTACCCATGTTCAGCAATACCTGTGCGAGGTACACCCTGGACAGGTCTCCAGTCCATCACAGGGACACATAAAGACCAACGAGACAAACAACCATTCACTCTCTCACTCACACCTAGAGACAATTTAGAGTTACCAATCAGCCTAACATGCATGTTTTTGGTCTGTGGGAGGAAACCGGAGTACCCGGAGAAAACCCACGCATGCACGGAGAGATAGTGTTGCATTCGGGCCCAAAACCCCCCGCCATTTTAAATTGAGCTTTGACTGCTTATATAGTCATTAATGGTCAGCGGATGTGCACAGCTGAATAAAAGGGGCAGAAGATTGGAGCTGATGGGGGTGTTTGCCCTTTCATGGCCGTCAAAGCACATTAAATTTGTGCTTCTACCTGCATTCTGCATTATTCAGACATGGACCCTGCTCTGACATGTCTGCTTTGGGATTTTACCTGTTTGGGTCGTCGGCTGCGTGTGTCCAATGCAGCAGCTGAATGAACATCTATTTGGTTGATGGATCACTTCCTGGCAGTATGGTGCCATCTGAAGCTGAACTGAACTTTATTTTACCTCTTTCAAGGCCAGGCAGCTCGTGGTGAAATGGCCGCATGCGGCTGGTGAAAGTAAGGCAGGCCATGTTATTATA